GAGAGAGAGAGAGAGAGAGAGAGAGAGAGAGAGAGAGAGAGAGAGAGAGAGAGAGATTGGTATGGGTTTTTGAGAGACTGGTATGGGCTTTTGAAATCTCACAGTCCACCCCCAGTGACACATTTCCTTCAACAAAGCCACCCCTCCTAATCCTTCTAATCCTTTCAAAAAGTTCTACTCCCTGGCAACCAAGTTTTCAAAGATATGAGCCTATAGGGGCTGTGGTAGTTTGAATGTAATTATCCCCATAAGCTCATAAAGAATGGCAATATTAGGAGGTGTGGTTTTATTGGAGTAGGTTTAGCCTTGTTGGAGGAAGTATGTCACTGTGGGGGCAGGCTTTGATGTTTCCTATGCTCAAGATACCACCCAGTATCAGAGTCCATTTTCTGTTGCCTTCTAATCTAGACATAGCCATCACCATGTCTGCCTGCATGCCTCTATGCTCTCCACCATAATGGTAATGGACTAAACCTCTGAACTGTAAGCTGCCTCTTCAAGTAAATGTTTTCCTTTATAAGAGTTGCTGTGGTCATGGTGCCTCTTCACAGCAATAAAAACCATAATTATAATAATTATGACCATTATTATTCAAACCACCACAAGAGGTAACTCCAGCTTCTCACAGGACAGGTAACTTAGCTCTGCAAGCTCAGCCCATGATCAGTCTCAGCATCTCTCACTGTAAACATCAGGAATTACCTGTAAGTTTGGTAAGATCACTTCCAGCACCATGATGTCAACATTTAAGACTCCAAATTGAACATGAAGCAACCAAAGTAAGATGCACTGATCAATAAAGAACCACAATTGCCACTAAAATGTCAAATTCTGAATTCAAGAGAATTCTAGTATGCTGCTTTTCTAGGATTGAGGCTGGTAGTTTGGTAAACACTCAGTAGTTGTATGACTGCGATGACAGCCACCGTGAAAACCCCAAAGGGCTAAACAACAAAGCCTAAAGTGCAGCCTGCACTTTCAACTCCTTACACTCCATCAGGAATTAGTGTATCACAAATCACGAAAATACTTTCCTCAATAATAAAATATTTAAAATTCATTTTTATGGTTTAAATTAAATAACCTCAAGGACCTATGAACCAAGCAGCATGCTATTCTCTAAGACAGCTAAGGGGAGCTCTGCCACTGGGACTTCTTTTGAAAAATGCACAGTACGGTAGGGTGTGGTGTCTCATCAGCGGCTATAGTTTCCAGGTCTATCCAGGTAATGACCAACATTTTTCCCCTCTCCATTTTTCATCTTATTTTTTCTTCATAACTGCCCAATTGGGCTAGTAGTTGGGAGGTAGGACCGATGATTTTTAAAATGTTCTATCCAGATTGTGGAAGCAGCATGTGACAGTCCTCCTGCTGAAGCAAATGTGTGGAATGCCACTGACTTCAGCAGGTGGCCTTCAGTGTGACAGGCCAGCTGCATACTAACTGCCCCTCCCTGGAAATCCAAGCTTTGGGAGGCTGGTTCAGTTGCACAGGTAGCAAGATTGGAAGCAGGGAGAATGATCCCCACAGTGGACATGGACACACTGTCCAGTGACTAGCCACTGCTGCTTCATTCTTTGTTCTGATTTTAACGACTTTAAACAAATACATAGGCAACCTCCATTATTATTTTAATACAGCATGTCACTGAGGATTTAAAAAATTAAGACAGTAAAGAGCAGAAATATTAGTATGTGCTCCCAAAGAGGAACCAAAAAGTCTCTATGAAATGCACTCATTAGGCAAAGTCCATAAATCATGATCAGTGTTGTATTAAACAGTCCTCTTGCTGTCCACTACTGGTTAGACATGGCAGTTTCATGTTGCAGTTAATTTTTCAGAATCCTTTTCAGTTTGCCAGAGTGTTTACCTCTAAAGACTCCAGATTGACAAACAGAAATGAGCTGCCACCCCCCTGGCAGACTACCATACATTCTGATTAGTGCTCTGGCTGTTAGCACAGTTAACTCACTCATTGTAAACAACTCCAACATATAAGAGGCTCATCCATCAGTCTTCTGCATTTATTTCAATGGAGATGTAGACACATCCTCAAATGCTTTATTTGTTTCTTTGTTTAATATTAACTTTCATTTACAGCAGAGCAAATTTGGCTTGACCTAACTGTTTACCATCTGCAGCTGAAGGGACAAAGGATGTATGCAGTGTACGGGGTGGAAAGGGGTTTCTAAGGAAAAGTTTTATTTTTGACTATTGTTTTCTCTTCTACAGATAGTTCTCAAGGGGGTCCTCAGATTTGTTTCTTGGAATAACAGTTTTTGTGTTGTGATTAGGGATAAAAATTTGAGACTGGCATTAGAAACTTGATTGAAATGAAAATTTGTTAGCCCTTCTCTGATAATAAATGAAACAATAGCCAACCAATTACAGTCAGAGGTCATTGCGCTCGCATGGAGGTAACTGTGAATGCTTAGGATGGGTGCCTTAAGAATCACAGAAATACTGTTCACCCAGGTACTTGAGAGGCAGAGGCAAGTAGATTTCTCTGAGTTCAAGGCCAGCCTGGACTACATAATGAGTTCCAGGTCAGCCAGGAGTATTCAGAGAGACCCTGTCTTAAGCAAACAAACAGACAAACAACAACAGAAAAAAAAAAATCAAGGAAATCCTGCTCCTTCAAAAAGGAAGCATGGAACAATGTTTTATAACAGAGTGACATGGAAAATGATGACCAAGCATGAACTCCATCTGCGTTGGTAATTACTTTCTCACTGTTTCATCGTCCTTCTCACTTTCTCCGAAACTACAACTTTGCAGAAGATTGTTTCTGTGTTTACTGCTCACACAAAAGGACCTAACTGAACTCATCATCATTCCAAGAGATAATCCCTAAGAATCGATTTCCCCTTTTGATTCTTCCTCCAGGGGGATTTAAAAAATATTACATCTAGAGTTATGTCCCACAAATATTGTTTAAAGTTTTAAAGATCCTAGACCTTGAGACTAAATCATAATGATAATCACAGTGAAGAGAGGCTACAACTGCAAGCAGCTAAAGGTAGAAATGGAGCGGTACTTAGGCTGAAGAGAACATCTATGTTTCTTTTCTGTCCCTGCCCTCCATGCCTACATAACAAGATGGAACTTCCATGTGTTCAGAACGTAGCCACCAAGATGCTCCCTAAATACACATTTTAATGTAACAGAATTATCAAATATATAGCACATACTTATATTTATCATTGTACAGAGACTGATAGAGGTGAGTGGTACACGGAAATGTGTGAGTAGTACAAGAGGTCTTTGAAAGGGAGTAGATGGGTAGATGTCACAGAAAGCAAAGCAAAAATCAAACATCTAGCAGTGAGCAAGCCAGACAATACAGAGAACAGTCAATGAAATAGACACAGGCATGGGCACAGGACAAGGGCTCCTGGTGTCAGCAGAGAATCACAGCTATGAAACCCTCACAGACGTTCCTCCATGAAGGAAGGTGATGATAGAATAATTTCCTTAACTCAAAGTTTTCTTACCTGTTTCAGCTTTAAGGAGATGTTCAAATGTGGCAAAACCAAAACACTCAAAGAAAAGGCGTGTGCCGAGGTGATCAAGCAAGAATATGAAAAACTTGGGCCAATTAGGTAAGAAATGCATGAGTGCCCACCACACACACACACACACACACACACACACACACACACACACACACACACACTACATGCATGCAAACTCACACAGATAAACACAAGAAGTTAAAGCAAATAATCACATATTTGCCAGCAAGGATGCCATAACGCTTGCCTAAGACCACAAACCTGTAAAGTTCAGTGACTATAAGCCACTAAAATGAAATACATACCAGTGCCCAAGTAAAATTTGCTAGGTAGAAAAACCAAAACAAAATCCAGAGAATCTGAGGAGAAAAGGTTTCTTCTAAGAGCACCCATACTCTCCAAGTAAGAACGTATCAAGTTCCCATAGCGGCCATGACCTGTGAAGATTAGCCTGACAACAAACAGCTCAGAGTTTTCCCAAATGTTGAGAAAATAAGAAATGACCGCAGCGGGTTTTTCTACAGGTATCAGGAAATCGTGACCTTGGTAATCTTCATCCTAATGGCCTTGCTATGGTTCAGTCGGGATCCTGGCTTTATTACTGGTTGGTCAGTCTTGTTTTCAAAGTAAGTATTAATGTGAGTCTGGCAGCCCTTCCTTCTGTTCAGTGCCGTGTCACGGCCACATATGTCCTACACCTTTGAAAAACTGCATGAGATGCTTTGTTCATTTCTTTGAAAAAAATATTTTTATGTCTAATCTTCTTGGGGGTGAGGTATTAAGGATAAGGTAAGAAAGCAAAAAAGGATGACCATCATACCCTGTATACATATGAGGGTCCATTAAACATGAGGCTATTCCCTCAGGACAAAGTTAGACATCTGAGCTGCATAGAGACGAGAATCTGCTCTGGTTAGGATGGTGGCTGTGAAACCCCGCACGCACCTGACTATGCTCTGGAAACTTCTGTTTATTCTGCACAAGCCACTGCACATGCTCTCACTTCTTTTACCTGGAAGTTGGAAGTTACAGTAGCACAGAGAATACTGCTATTTTTTTTCTAGTAAAAGTGATAAATAAATATTGTGTGACATAAATGCTACACAGTGTGTTCTCAGTCTATTTTCAACCAATATGCTCTGGTTCTTAAATCTAGAAGAGTTTCATCTTGGACTTCTGGTCTCACACCCCCAACAAGAATCCATTTAGTTTGGGAGCACAAATCAAAACTGTTTGAGTCAGGTGTAATTTGGCCTGATGGAAGAGAGAAACACTACCTTATCTCAGCCTGAATTTTCTGTTTTCACAGGCATTGTCAGTATTTTTTTTAAGGTGCAAAGGATGAATTCAAATTTCTTATGACCAGCTTGCTCAAGCAATGCATGAGGTAGATAGTTTGAAAGATCAGCTTGGTCCTTTTGATTCCTTTAGGCAAAGAACTTCTCGTTTTGATGCAAAAGCATCATCAAATTATTTAAAACAAGCTATTGTCCAATAGAAAATTAGTACTTTGTATTTTTCTAATAGGATTTAGAGCAAAATAAATAAATAAACAAACTCCACCTCCCTTTAAAATCCAATGTCCACAGCATTATTCTCTCTCTCTCTCTCTCTCTCTCTCTCTCTCTCTCTCTCTCTCTCTCTCTCTCTCAACAGTAATATATTGAAAACATAGCAAATAATAGCAAATAAAAACTAGGAGAAAATCCCAATAGAATATTCAGTATAATCAGCATCTAATTTTTCTTCCTTACAGAAGGATACCGTAATTCAGGAGATGTTTTTTGTTTGTGGCAGACAAACAGGGCTGCTATGAGCAGTTGCCTCTTCTGTCACCCCGCACTGTGAGAGTCAGCAAAAGGAAAGGGGAAAGGCTTGAAAGAGGATAGAGCTTGAAAATATAAATAAAACAATCACAGTAAAATCTGTATAGGATTAATATTCGATAGTGCTGAGATAACCCAGTTCATAATGAATCAAAATTCAAAGTAATAAATAAAACAATTATAATTTAAAATGTTTTATGAAAATGTCTGTCAACATTTATACCTGGATTTATCTAAAGTGTGTATTCTGTAAAATATATGTATGACGTGCAGATTTTAGGCAGTAACAATTTCTAAAGCTGATATGATATATTAAGATTTATTGCTACCACCTAATGTTTTCATTCCATCTGTTTGAATCTGGACTGATTTCAATATGTCTTTTCATATAAAACAAAATTCAGTTACATGACACCTGGCCCAGTTTGGCAAAAGCTTAGCCAAGAACTGTAACTAAAATAGAATAATAAGAAAACAATATATTTAGAAGGATTGGTCAGGATTTTAGAAATAATTAAGCCACTGTAGGTTTTTAGTCAACAAGGAAAGAAAGTAAGCCTGTATTTAAGATAATTTTAAAAAATTATCAAATTGAGAAAAATAATGTACTTCCTTGATTATTTAGATTTTTTTATATATAAACTACAAGAGCATAAACACTTGCATAGCAAATAAGTAGACTGAGTTATAAGATAGAAAAACAAGCCTTATGATGTACATATTTCTTCAGGCTACAAAAATGCACATAGTTGATACTGCTGACATCTAAAGCTGTATTCTAATTATTTGTGTCTGTTTCATTTGTATAATATCCAGGTGCCTCTTAACTGCTGAGCTTCCAGGAACCTGTCTTTTTGCTAGAATGGTCTGGCAATTCTTAGCCCCATCTGTTCCCGAATTACTCTTAATTTGCACAGGGCTCATTTGTGAGCATCTCGTAAGCCATTCTGATAATTAATCTTCTTAAGTTTCTAGAAGGCAAAGTATCAAATGGGGTTGATTTCCTTTGTATGTAGGTCTAGTGCCCACTGCAGAAGCAGGTGTTTCATCCCAGAAACCAGATCAATTTGCTTTCACAGTTTATAGAGGAGTTTGAGGGGACACTAGCAACAGCATGTCTCCCTAAATTCAATAGAATGACGTTATAAATCAATTACACGGGTCTTTGCCAAACTCCAGCAACTGTTTAAACCTCAATTCTCTGACATTATAATAAAAAGCAATATTTCAAAGAGAAAATTGGTTAACACACCTGAAGGTTTACCTGAACATTTTGCTCTGTTGGTCTGATAAGGTGTCATCTGTTTATTTGGTATTGACAATATGAGAAATGTATTGAATTATTAGGAATGCATTCTGAAATGATTGGGCCTTATATGTTGCATCACTTCATTGGGAATCTGTGTGTTTTAGAACAGATTTTCCACAGTAAATGACCTATATTTATTATCACTTCTATTTAATTATTATTAACATAATTAACTGACATCTTATCTCATGTAACTTCTTCATACCATTTTTAATGTACACATTTGTTCATGTTTTTTAGGTACCCTGGTTATGTTACAGATTCAACTGTTGCTTTAGTTGCAGGACTACTTTTCTTTCTAATTCCAGCTAAGGAATTGACAAAAACTACATCTACTGGAAAAACTGGTTGAGTATCATTTCTAATACTGAATTTATAAAAGACCTTTTTGAAGAAATTAAAATTCCACAAGCTTCAGTTAGCACATAGGATATTAAAATGGCCATGCCAGCATAACCTCTATCTTAGCATATCTCACTTACATCCTGAACCCCCTACTTAGCCAGCCTTAATCTCTACCTACAGGAAGATTTACTAGAGTTTGCAGAAGTGAAAAGTAGATTTCCTTTTATACCCAGGTTCCAGTTCTTCTATAAGGGATACTACCACATACCCTGCCAAAATCAGAATTTGGCTAACAAGGAAAGAAGGATTTAGAGTCACTTTTTTTGCGATGTGACCTCAGTAATAATTTTGAGGACCCAGAAAAGGGTTTCATGAGAAAGATTACTTACAGTTTCACAGAAGTCCTTGAAGAAACAGAGAATAAGTCCCATGTGGACATTAACCTGGGGTCACAACTGGAAAAGTTATTCAGTAGGAGCACTGACTGTACTCACAACCCATGGACAAGGAAGTGCACACATCTGCAGAAGCATGCATTCTCCTACATGCACTGCTCATACACAATTCATTCATGCCTGTGCTTTATGTTAACATCAGCTTTCAGGAGCTGTATTCTTATGTTACATACATAGGAAAAATGGGTTATAACAGTTTGGAAATACAGTTTCATGTTGGCTGCTAACATAAATACCCTGACAACAGAACAACATAAAGAAGGGGAGGCTTTGGCTTACTCCCCTGGGTACAGTCCATCATTGAGTAGACATGAAGGCAGGAACTTCAGTCACATCACATCCACAGTCAAGAGCAAAAATACATTCATGATTTTGAAGCTTCTTCTACTCTTATAAAATCCAGGGCTCATCACATGAAATGGTATGATGCACAGTTGGCTGGGTCCTCCCACATCAATGAATGGTCAGGACAGCCCCCTACAGAAATACCCAAAGGCCAAACCAATCAAAATAATTTTTCATTGAGTCTCCCTTCTCTGCTGATTCTACATCATGTCAACTTGACAGATTTCAATACATTGTCCTATAGTAAGAGTAGAAAGATGAGTCAATGAATGAATGGCATTACTAATGACATCATAATAATTTATCTAAATGTACCTCAAATATTATCTGAAGCATTTGTCCAAGTTACTTTCTAATAGTTTATTGAAGTATTTTTTATGTGTGTTAGTGTCTCCCTGCACCTATGTGGATCCCTTGTGCCTGTAAAAGTCTGAAAAGAGTGTCAGATCAGTGTAGAATCAGAGTTACAGACAGCTGTGAGCCACCATGTAGATGCTAGGAATTGGACTCATGTCCTCTGGAAGAAGAGCCAATGGGCTTAACTGCTGAGCCATCTCCCCAGATGCAAAGTTATAGCATTTTTAATACAATATTCCACCTAAGGTCAGTGGAAACTCAAAGTCGAGATCTAATTGCTGCCTTGAAAACAGCATCATAATATTATAAGTTTCTTGTAAAATGACTATTCAGGATACTGATAAAATTGTCAGATTTTCTTATTTTCAACAATATTTAACTGTAGGGTTTTTGTTTTGCAGTTGCTTTTGATTACTCTCCCCTGATTACTTGGAAAGAATTCCAGTCATTCATGCCCTGGGACATAGCCATTCTTGTTGGTGGAGGTTTTGCCCTGGCAGATGGCTGTCAGGTAATGCTCAGTGTGTAAGATACTTAACAATTAACTAGGTGGTTGAAAAGAAGAATACAGACACACTCAAGCTTTGGGCATATTCACCTTTATCCTCTAATTTTAATAATGCAGAATTCAATAGCCATGCAGTATCCCACACAGAGGAGGTGAGTTCATAGTCCAAGAACTTTTACAGGCTGTAAGCATAAACATTAATGCTATGGTGTCTCATCATGTCAAAAAATAATGCAAAGAAGATTTAAATTTTTATTCCATGATATCATATTAGTAGCTTAGTAAGAGCAAAAACAGATTAAAAAACATGATTCCTAATGGAACATGTTTATTTGCTTGCTTATATTTTTACATTATTTCATTTGGAATTTGTGTGAATCTTGAGTTTCAATTCAATAAGCCATAATTTTGTCATTGTCAAATAAAGAGACTAAAACATAACACCATAAATAAATATATCTAGTGAATGAAGTCCAGAAAATTAATGTGACAATTTCTAATATATTATATCCACTGTGAGGAAGGAATGAAACCATCATGAGTTAGAGAGATGGCCATTGATCTGTTCACCAGCCGATAAAAAGCAAGCGCCTATCCCTTCTCATTGCCCTGGTCATTGTAGATATGCTAGAAGAAAATTATCCTCTCTAAAAATTCTTGGGCACATTTATATACAAACAATGTCGAATGGACTCAGGAAGTTGTATATCTATGTATATTTAGAAAAATAATACATATGAATAATAATACATAATTGAAAATGAGACCATGAATTTAGTGGGGGAGATATGGGAGAAGCTTGGGGAGGGGTGTGTAGGAGTGGTATTGATGCAGCATCATGTATGAAGCTCTCAAAAATTTTTCTGAAAAAGCCAAGAATATCCTTGTGTCTGACTACAAACTGTTCACTCACGGGTTTCATAGCTTTCTTTAAATACTCAGAGCTTGTTTGCATTCATCTCCATACTCAGTCACAAACAAGAGAATGGCAAGGGAGGAGTTGTGAAATGTCCCCTGGCCTCTTAGAAGTCATATGTTTATGTATTTATTTCAATTCTCGGGACAAATTGTTATCTTTTCTTCTTGATAATTTGTTAGGAGAATATCATTTGCTTCTAATTTACTAGTTTCTGTATAGTATTTAGATTCTGAGCTTTAGCAATAGGATTTAGTCATAACTGTAAGTTTTGGAAATCATCTCAATTCAGAGAGCCTTTTGCAAAATTGCTTTAGGCTTAGATTTGCCTTGCCTCATAACCTGTCCAGATAAAAATGGTAGAAATATAAGACAATAACAATTTTCTTTTCTACTATTTCAGCAGTAATGAGATCTGAATTCTCAGAATAAATAACTGCCATCTCTATGTCTGCTGATTTGAACTGTGAGGAAAGCAGAATCAGAAAGTCTGGCATTCATAAGAATTTTGCTCATCTCTCCTCAAAATATGTCTAGACTGGATTCTAGACACTCAAAGTGGCTTTGAAAGCATCGACCAGACCCTAGAACAGCCAAATCTGAGGAAATGAAAAGGTGTGGACTTAGTCGGATGCACATGGCTCTCTCAGTGGAAAAATTAGGGAAATCATGGAGGGAGGACTAATTCATTATAAAAATCCTAGTAACCAGAATCTGCATTATACAAGACTTTCCAGAAAAAACTATTCCTGAGTAACCAAACTGAAGTCATCAGTTTCCCAGAAAAAAGTCTGTACACAAATATGACCCCAAAGATTGGTTTTTTTTTCTTTTTAATACTAGGAGCCAACTTGAAAAACATTTGTTCAAAGTTATAATTTGTCTGGCAAGTGTCTCAAGCCAGGGAATATTTCTAATTGAAAAAAAAACATGAGATAGCAATTATGTACTATTTACCTCATGCTGTGACTCTCTCTTAAATGCCCTGATTTGTTTTATTTAAGATGATTGATGTCCCACAAAGTGATAGACACGGTCCAACTCTAACCAGTGAATAATTTCTTTATTATTGGTTTTTTACATATTCCTCAAATGCTTTTTTGAAGATAACTCTGAAAAATTAAATACTGTTTTCTCAAATATTCCTAAGCTCCCAAGAACATAATAATAATAATGACACAACTCCTACCAGTCTTTAAAGGTTAAAAACTCTATAGCACAGTCAAGAACAGGCAAAAGGTGTTCAAACCACACACAATAGAAGGAAAGTATTGTAGGAGTAAATGGTTTTGTGCAAGCAGATGAAGTATATAGGTCAGAAAATGGAGGAGTTCTCAAGAAATTAGGTGATTTAATAGTAAGATCCTGAAAGTGAGAAACAATTGTAAGCAACAGATCATATTGTAAGCATGGAAGAAGCCAGAGCTGGATATTAAAGATGGTTTTAAAAGCTTCCAAGGCTATGCGATTTCTTCAAATCTATCCCCACTCATGAAGGGCTACACAGCCTTTAGAAAATTGCCTTATTCTGTAGCAAAGTTGAAGCATCGTCTTCATCAACAGTCCTTGCTTATCACCAAGAGCTTTAAATCACCGCTTAATGATCTCTTTAAATAAAAATGAGTAGGTAGTCAAGAGTCACCAGATAGTTGGGGGAAACCCCACATACAATAACCAAAGACAGAAAAATAAAATGAACATAGAAACAAAAAGAAATGAAACAAAGAAAAGGTGAAGTAAATGAACAAAGCAAAAAACACTTTAAATTTTGTCATTGGTGCCTCAAAGAGATGTAAGAACTATTAATGATATGAAAAGTAAAAGAAAATATCATTTAAAAAATAATCACCAAGTAATCCTCTAAAATTTAGAATTATATCAACTTTATATTTAAAAGTCAGCAACACTGTTCAAAGATAAAATTGAAATATATCAGAAATACAAAAAAGGTATAAAAGACAGTAAATACTAAAAGGAGATGACTGTCCAGTGCCAAGTGATCAGCCTACAACATATACACACAAGCAACACTAACACTCTAATATATACATGTGTGTGTGTGTGTGTGTGTGTGTGCGCGCGCGCGCGCGTGTGTGTGCACCCACACACGCACGCAGTCATGTATGTGAGTCTGGGTATGTGTGTGTATAACAATAATAAAGAAGGGGGCATGGGAAGGGTTACAGAGAAGAGAGAGGAGGAAATGATGTAATTCCATTTTAATTAAAAAATAAAGTAAAATTGTGAAAAGATAACTAGAGCACTAGTCTACAAACTCCTCAAGAGTCTGTTTAGAAAGAGAAAAAAAGTAGAAAGGAAGGCCATTTCTAACAACAACACAAGTAAATTCTCAGAAGCAAAGCCTCCAAGATGCTTGGCTAAGAGCGCTATTAAGAGGTTCATGCTGGAGGAATTCAAGAAGAGTCTACATTTTAGATCTCAGAATCTTGAGGTGGAGATAGAATCATAATGGACTCCAGAAAGAATCCCAAACAAGTGGTGAATTACTCTCAATCAGACCTAGATAAAACACACTCTTCCTTCATCTGCTAGGAATCTATGTCCTTGTACTTCAGTTTTTATACTTCTAAACACTATATTCAGTATCTATACCCATATATGTATAAATCTATAAAACTAATATCCAAACCCATCTACAGCTCATTGGATAAAATGCTTCCTCTATGAGCTTGAGGAACAAAGTTCAAATCCCCAAGACCCATGTAAATGGCAGGTGGGTGTGGTAGCCCTCTGTAATTCCAGAGCAAGCTAGGTAGATAGATTAACCATGTCAGTGGACTATGGGTTCTTCTGAGAGAACTTGCCTCCACATATAGCATAAAGGGCAGACAAGACTCTTGGCATCAAACCAAGGCTTACACACACACACACAAACATGTGCCCAAACACATATAAACACACACAGCACAAACATACAAGTGCTAAAATACAAACAAATAAAATAGTTAATTCTGTATATGAATCAAAACAATGAACAATACAACTTATATCTAGTGTTCATGTCTGTGATGTTTGTATTCACTTTGGAACTGAATTTACTACTTATAATCAAAGTTTCTTCTGATGCATAGCCTAGTTTGTCATAAGTGTGATCTCATAAAAGGTAGATTTTTTTTCTTCTAGGGGGAAAAACAGAGTAACAAACCTATTAATTGGAGTGCAGGCAATTTTTTGGACTAAATGCAATCAAAGACCAGTATTCAATTAATCTAAAGAACTCCACAGTAAAACAAAGAAAATAGATTAATAGCTTAACATTGCTGAACAATTTCAATGATTTCAAAATTAGAATTCTCAAAATCAGAACTACAAAAAAAGTGTAAAGAGAAATGAAAGAATTTTCAGACCTATAGAGTCTGAAAAAGTGCCTTCCGTCCAACAATCTCAGCACATATGAAAGGATGTGCTTCTCCAAATGAATGGAATGAAGGAGGGGTTCCCACAAAGCAGAGTGGTGAGTCAAGGAGGAAGTTAAGTAAATTTAAAATGAATCTAGTCCAGATGGAGTGGAGGGAGGCTCTATTCCAGGACAGACAACTTGAAGGAACATGAACAAAACAAACCCACTTAATTCATGTGTTTGTTTGCTTGTTAGATAGGTCTCCAGATAGTTTGAAGAGCATGATGAATTAGTGATAGGTACTTAGAAAACTATGCAAACAGAATAATGTTTTCTTTGGAAAACAAAGAAAGTAAATATAATCTTAGATGGTTAAGTGGCTCAGCAATGAACAATATTTATATAATTACAGCAGTAAATATCAAATATTGATTTAACTAAAGTATTGCAATGTCATGGGGAATTAAAAGGTAGAAAATGTATGTATGATGAATGATATAAGAAAACAATCCTCAGGTAACATATTAAGAAATCAATCATTAATGTTTCAAGTTGAAAATTTAAGAAAAAGCATAATTAGAATATTAATTTGAAAGATAACTATATTAATACATAAATATCAGTGTAAATAGCTAACAGCAATTTAAAGTTCTTGCTCTGGGGGTGGGGTACAGCTTAGGAAAAGAGAGAGGAGCCTGAGGGCTTCCCTTTTCTTAAAGCTCTATAGTCTATCATGACTCATCAAGACATTTATATATGTTAACTACATAAAATTAAAATATAATAGAAAAAAGCATAGAGAGACCATTTAAACTTCTTAAAGCATGGCAATAGTATTAAAATAATTCTGAAAATTTGTCCATATCAAAACTATCCATATTTACCAAAAAACAAGAATATGGGAAATGATATTTCAGAAACTAACTCAGTAAACACTTTGTGTGTGTGTGTGTATGTGTGTGTGTGTGTGTGTGTGTGTGTGTGATTAAATTGCAGTTCATTAAAATGAATGGAACAGATGTGTCTCTTGGTCTATTTGTGGGACTCCTAGAAGTGAGATCAGGACCTGTCCCTAACTCTTGGGCTGGCTCTTGGGAACCTATCACTCATACTAGGTCACTTCATCCAGCCTCAATACAAAGAGAGGAGCTTAGTTCTACCTTAACTTGATATGCCATGCTTTATTGACACTCAGGGGAGGCCTGCCCCTTTCTGACCAGAAACAGAGAAGGAGTGGATCGGGGAGCAGAGAGAAGGCAGAGGGAAGGAACAGGAGGAGAAGAGGGAGAGGAATCTGTGGTCGGGATGTAAAATTAATGAAAAAATAATAATTAAAAAATGAATTATATGAATAATAAATACTGCAAATTTGTTTTTTTTAGGAATCAGGACTATCTAGCTGGATAGGAAGTAAATTATCTCCTTTAGGTTCATTACCAATTTGGCTAATAATTCTGATATCTTCTTTGATGGTCACATCTTTGACAGAGGTAGCCAGCAACCCAGCTACCATCACCATTCTTTTCCCTATATTATCTCCTTTGGTGAGTATTACATTTGTATTGTTTTCCTCTAGAGTAGGTTTTGTTGTTGTTTTGACTGTAAGTTCTCATCCTGTGGTATGGAGCTTCTTTTGGCCCAAATGGACCTTCTGTAAGCAACTTATATATGGTCTTTACCTGCACCAGGTGACATTTGCTCAAGGGAACTATGTTTCACATTCAAGCAGTATGTGAATCTATGTAATAGTATGTAATACTATGTAATCTATGTAGTAGTATGTAAATCTTTAGTCAACAATTTACCTTCTCTCTTTCTGGGTTTTTGTTTTGTTTTGTTTGAGTTTGCAAATGTGAAACCATTCTGGATCCATTGCAGCTATAAGATGATTCATAGTTCCTGGCACTTTAAAATATCTCCCTTCAGAACAGTGTTCCTAAGTTTTTAAAAAGTTCTTCCTATAAGAGATGGACAGATGAATGAGAATGAGAAATAGTCTTAACCATGGCCTAAATACCTTAGGCAGGTCTCTGATGCCCAGGAAATAAATGAAACAATTTGCTAAGAGAGGTGGAAAGACCCCATTTTCCTTGCTCCATAGCAATTACATGAGATAGCTTTGTGTGAAATGTTTTTTCTGATTTAAGTGGGTTATTTTGGTGAAAAGAAAGCACTTTAAATTAAGAATTGTTTTAAAGAAACAACCAGGATAGTCTCTCTGAACATGCTTTCCAGACACTCCACAGGGTTATTTACTCATAGACTTGAGTTGCTGCTTCAAATTAGAAATGAACATAAAGATTGTTTATCAATTGTTTATTGGCAAGAAATCACAGGCAAAATACCATCTCAGCTTTCTGTTTTTATTTAGAGAAATTAAGTTTTTAGAAAGTTATGCGATGAGTTTCAGATAATAACAATTCTTCTTAAGTAATTATCACTGAGGAATTTCACATTTCTCATAGAAATGATTGAGCTAGTAGTACACTGAAAATCTCTAGAGCCATAGACACCCAGGCCTCCTCCAGATTCTCTTGGATGTCAGCTGCATGCTTGATAATTTCTTTGGTGTCTCTGACCTCAGTAACATCATCTATTATTTTGAGCTAGACTAGCCAGCTTATAATATTCTAAAATGTTTAAGAATACACAAAGAGCCGGGCGGTGGTGGCGCACGCCTTTAATCCCAGCACTCGGGAGGCAGAGCCAGGCGGATCTCTGTGAGTTCGAGGCCAGCCTGGGCTACCAAGTGAGTTCCAGGAAAGGCGCAAAGCTACACAGAGAAACCCTGTCTCGAAAAACCAAAAAAAAAAAAAAAAAAAAAAAGAATACACAAAGATATTATATTATATGGTATATCATGTGCATGCATATACACTAATTATATAATAAATCACTTTGGTTTTATGTAGTTTCTGAGATAAGTGGTACTTCACTTTCTAAATGAATAATAATATAAAGGTCTAAATACATAGCAATAACTATAGAAATAAGAGACACTTTAAAATTCTCCAAAAAGTTATAAATTATGCAAAATTTTATGCCTTTAGGTTTCAACTTGATTCTGGGAAAATATTTTACAATAAGTTTGTTCATTTTCATGTTTGGTGCCCACCCTCAGTGTTTTAATTCAACTCTCTTTGGCTTTTTCCACAGTCTGAAGCCATTCATGTGAACCCTCTGCATATTCTGCTGCCTTCCACACTCTGCACATCATTTGCATTCCTTCTGCCAGTTGCAAATCCACCCAATGCTATTGTTTTTTCATATGGCCACCTGAAAGTCATCGACATGGTAAGTTAGCAGCTGAAAAAACAGGGTGTCCCCCAATGCACCACTCTACCTGCTGGCCCAAACAAGCACTACCCTTGCACTCTAATCAACCACTGAGAAAATTAGGGTTCGAAGTCTGTTTCTAAAACTATGTGCATGACTGGTCATAGAATTATTTTTAAAAAGTGGACATGCCATTAGAGTTTATGGTCACAAATAAAGATGTGGAATACATGAGCACAGGTCTGGGGAAAAGAAAAAGAACACAGAATTTCTTAACATGACTTCTTCAAATTATGGCAAGATTAGGATGCAACCTAAGGCAAGAAGAAACAGGGTCAAAAACCTTCATCAATCAAAACAACACTACGGTTCTTTACTACAATTGTTTATGAAATATTTGCTCTGAATAAGACACTGCCCAGTGCCTGAGGAAAAGTCTCTTTCCTTTAGATTCTAACACTTGTAGGGTCTCTGTGAGAAACAAAGGCAAATTTAAGTGATAGAACATACATTTTGTCTCCAAACACAAAAATCATGGTATCTGAGAACCAATATGAGCATATTCTAGTTTTAAACCAAACTCATCACCAATTTCCAACACAACCCAAACAAGAATACAGTCAAAGTCAATTCTCTGAGTTTGCTACATACATGGAGTTAAAAGATGTTTTCCTGTTCCTTCTTCCCACCCAGATTGCTATCCCTGCCTCCAAGCAAAATAAAACTTCTGGGAATGTTTCTATATACAAGGCACATAACATCTTGTTGGAAAATAGAATATATTTAACATAAAATATGATACATATGTATACATGTGCGTGTGTGTGTCAATACAAAAAGACATGTAATAAATGAGTGGCTTGCATGGATAGAGAAAAGGGTCTCCATAGTAATCACGTTAAATATTTCCCTTTTGCTTTGGAAAGCTATTTTTTAATGCAGAGAATCAGGAGTAGCTAAACATTCAGTGTGAGGGGACAAACCATGACTATTTCAGGCTTTGCAGGCCATAGAGTCTTTGTCACAATTACCCTCCTCCACTATTGTATCGTAGAACCAGCCAAAGATATTATATAGACAAATGAGCAAGGTTATGGTATAGGGAAAAAAACAAACGGTAGTGAGAAAAGCAATTTAAGAGCTGAAGTTGACAATATCTAATGTGTAAAAAACTATTTTGAGATTGTCCAATGGACACTAGAAGTATTATGTAAGAGTTTCAAAAAGAGCACCACTAAAGAAGAGGAATATCAGTGACAGTACAACTTTTCCAATAAAGAATGGCTTCGTGGGAAACCAATAATGTCAGGCGATCCTGAAGAATAGTTATCACATGGCTTTCTGAAACCTGTCCACTGAGAAAGAAGATCATCAATCTCCAATTATAACTTGACATACAAGGGCAAATTGACTTACATATATTCCTAAGAGAAACCCCTCTGGTGCTGTCAAAATGATAGTTGGGGACAGATTCTCATTTGACGTGAAAGGAAGAATATCCCTAGCTGATGATAATCACAAGTTATATAGGTCATTGAGGATGCATGGAAATCAGGTTTATGCTTTGTGTGTTGCAATTCTGAAATATTTGTACATTTTTTCCCCTGGGAGACTGAAATTTATGCTTTCTCCGTTTCCTAGGTTAAAGCTGGACTTGGAGTAAATATTTTGGGAGTTGCTGTGGTGATGCTGGGCATGTTCACCTGGATCGAACCTATGTTTAACCTCCACGAGTACCCTTCCTGGGCTCCTGACTTTCTTAATCAGACCATACCATGACAAGCACAAAATTGCCACCTACTTCATGGTGACTTTTGGACTTGCTAAGAATTCATTGTAAAATGTAGCTGTATATAACTGACACATATAAATCAGTGATATAGTCATTACAGTTCCAATGCATGCTTCCCACTCGCTGTCATAGAGTATATGTCTTTTGAAATACAACCAAAGAGCATCTGCATGCCTTCCTCCAGAAACCCAAGGTAGAAATTGTGTTGGCAGACCGACTAAATGCTCTTTCTCCATAAAAATGATGCCAATAACCTTTAAAGCATTTAGGCCATTTGCCACATCTTAAACTTGGAGTTCAATGTAATATTTCAAACATCAATTTATTATTTGAAAATCTTCTTATAAAACTAAAAGCAGAAAATAAAATATAAAAGTAAATGAGATACTTGGATAAATCATTTCTATAGTGTTTGTCAAGGGAATTTGCTAAAGAATCAAGCTGTGGTCATTTGGTGTAATCAAAGTAAAATGTGTATTTTTTATTTATTTATTGAAAAGTCCAACTGCATTATTACTAAGTTGTAGGCAAGACTAATTGAAATTATAATAATTACAAATTCCAAAATCCATGCATCCATTTGGTAGTGGAAAATTCATAATGATTAATTTATGTGTCCATATAAACAGGCTACTATTTTATGCTTCTGTGCCGAGCAATGCATTTTGAATAGTTATGAATAAGTGAGTTATGGGTTGTAGTATTTTTGCAGTATAGTTAGAAAGCTATGCATTAGGGCTATCTACACATTGATGCAATGTATAACTTTTGCATCTGTCAGCACAAAATCACAGTCCTTTGGATTCTCTCCTGCTTAGTCTCATAGAGAAAAAAAACTAAATAAAGGCCCCAGTTTCACAAACCCTGGGTTGACATAAAGATTATAAAAACTACTGTAACACAAATCTTTTTTTTTTTTTGGTTTTTCGAGACAGGGTTTCTCTCTGTAGCTTTGCGCCTTTCCTGGAACTCACTTGGTAGCCCAGGCTGGCCTCGAACTCACAGAGATCCGCCTGCCTCTGCCTCCTGAGTGCTGGGATTAAAGGCGAGCACCACCACCGCCCGGCTGTAACAAGAATTTTAAAGGTCTTATTAATAAAATCAAACCTGAAGCCAGATATTGGGGTGAATGCTGGAAGATCAGAGAAGCAGAACAAACCACAGCTTCCTCACCTCGCCAGTTCCTCAACTGATACTGTTTCCTCAGACTGGAAGCCTCTTAGTCCTCATCCAAATGGATCTCAGCTGAACTGTTGCTTAAAAGCCTAAAAGTTTAACCAGACTCTTGTCCTGGGTCCTCATGCCTTATATACCTTTCTAATTCCTGCCATCACTTCCTGGGATTAAAGGAATGTGTCACCATGCCTGACTGTTTCCAGTGTGGCTTTGAACTCACAGAGATCTGGATGGATCTCTGCCTTAGAAATGCTAGAATTAAAGGTGTGTGTGCCACCATATCTGGCCTCTATGTCTATCTAGTGGCTGTTCTGTCCTCTGACCCCAGAGAAGTTTATTAGGATGCACAATATTTTGAGGGACACAATATATCACCACAATTACAAAGTTCGAAGATCATAACCAGAAGCATACTAATTTATCTCTAGTACTATGATAATGTTGCTTAACTTCCTTTGGAGGGACCTGTAGCCACCTTTGTTATAAATATTACTCTTCACTTGGGTTAACAGATGTCTAGTAGGTGACCATAGCAGGATAAAAACAATTAAAATCCCGTCTTCAGATTGTTTCCATTATTTTATTCTAATTAAATTTAGTTTTATTTTAAAAAGAAAACAATATTTGAAAAATGAGCCATTAGTTAAAAATATTACTGCATATAGAAGAAAGTCACATAATTTCATTGTATAAATACTAAAATGAGATAGAAGTAAAATACAGAATAAAAAATTAAAATTATGTACTTGACAAAAGAGAAAAACTACTTATGATCAGAGGAAAAAGAAAACCAACCTCGAAGTATATAGACAGACATGCAATAAGATGGAAAAAAAGAAGAAAAATCTTTGGCATTCCAAACCTGGACTAACAAAAAAATTATCAAAACCAAATAATCTGCCCAGTTAGGAAAAGATTGAGTTGTTAGAAAATGGAATTATCCTGATAAAAGTGAAATAGAGGACAAAAATACACCCTTGCTTTTTAATTCTCATAAGCATATTTCTTGATGTTAAAGACCTTGTTTGGAAATTTTTTTAAAAGATACTTGAAATTAAATATCAAGAGAGTTCTAAAAATTGATATATCTTTTTACTAAATTTTTATTATTTACACTAATTTTTAAATTTAAATATATTTTGATCATATTCTTCTCCTCCAAGTTCTCCCAGATTCTCTTCTCCTCCCTACCCACCCAACTTTAAGTTCTTTTTCAAGAAACAAACAAAAACCCAATACAACAAAAGCCCCAAAACTAAGTGGGGAAACAAAAACATTTACTACCCCCCCCCAAGAAAAAAACCAAACCACCCATCAAATTGTAACCAAACAAAAGCACGCAAAACAAATGAACAAACAAAAAAATGTGGAGTCGGTTATATGTTCGTCATCTACCCCTGAACATGAAGCCTGTCCTGGAGTGGTTGATATAGCCACTGTCACTCTCTTAGAGAAAAAAAGATTTGCCCTCTTCCAGAAAATGTAAGTGACAGTTCAGTTGTTAACCTTTACCCTAGTGGTGAGGTTTTCATTCATGCATTCGTTCATTCATTCATTCATGATTTATTCATTTATTTTTTGAAATATAACAAAAAACAATATAATAAGATAAAACAAACACTATCACATTGAAGTTGGGCAAGACAAATCCACAAAAGAACCCAAGAGAAGGTTCAAGAACCAGATGCCCGCTTTTTTACGTGCTTAGAACTGGAAGCCATTGTATGTACACAGAAAACCGGGTGCAGACTTTGGCTGGCCCCGTGTTTGCTGCTTCAGTCTCTGTGAGTTCATATGAATTTTGACCATGTCGATTTAGAGGCCGCTTTTCTCTTCGTGTCCTCCAACCCTTCTGGCTCTTACATTCTTTCTGCTTTCTATTCCATGCCCTGAGCTCTGAGGGGAAGAATTTGAAGGGAGATCCCATTTAGCACTAAGCGTTTCAAGGTCTCCCTCACCCTCTGTATAATGTCTGACTGTGGGCCTCTATAATTGTCCACTTGCTTCAGGAGGGAGCTTCTGTGATGATGGCTGAACAGGATACTGATATATGAGTACAGCTGAAAATCATCATTTTATCCCAACTTTTGTTTTCTATGTTTAGACCAGTAGTGTTTGATTTTAGCCTAGGTCCCTGGGTTATCCAGTCTCAGGTTCTTGGTCACTCAAACTGTCAGGTATTTCTTCTAAAATAATGTACAATTAATTGTCTATCTTCATTACTTGTGGTTATTAATCAATGAAAAATTAATGATCTTTTCAAATAAAAATTTGTTCTTTTTCAATCTTAAAATTTATTACTGCTGCTTTGTGAAAATCATCTATGTTCAATAATTTATTTATTCCTTTATTCTTTTTTCTATTATATGTTACATTTTTATTTATGATCTGGAATATTGATTAAATTCTGCTCACTTCTTGTCATTTAATTTATCACTGCCGAATTATATTATATGATAGGTACATTTTTATTATGAAAAACTAAAATGAATTTTCAAATTATCATGGATAAGTTTCGGTCTCAAGAAAATGTTATCAGCATTTCAACTCGAAGAATTTTAATGTAACACTTTCAGCAGCTGCCATCTGGGTACAAGAATGGTAATACTTAGCCCAAAATTGTTTAATTGAGCCATCCTATTTTTTTGCCACATCTTTATGTTTGGTTGATATATGAGAACTGACTGATTAATTTCACATTAATCTATTTTCTATCAAAGTTCTCAAGCTTTTGAAATCTGAGCATTGCATCCTGTCTTTGAAATTTCTAAAAGGTATTCCTAAACAGATGATCAAACACATCTTTGTCCTCCCACTCTGTAGCAGATAGTGTTATTGCTATTATCTTGAGCATTGCTTAAAGGTTAACTAGAAATCGTTGTCATTTTCAATTCTAGTATCTTACTTGGGATCAGATCCTGTCTGGATAATAGTAGCAATTTCACTAAGTACCCCTTCACTGTTCATGCCACTACTTTGAAGGCTCTGCTGACATATGGATTTCTTTTACTTGCCCCAGTTGCTGATGTACATGGCAGTGTCTTGAGAATCCAAACTTCTCTTTTCTGTACTGTGTGGGATGTCTTCTCCTACTTGGTTTCCATGTCTTTAATTTTTAGCCTTAGAGGTGGAGAAATTGACTTTCAACAAATGCTACTAATTAGCATTATTGCATACAGTTGACAAAATAATATTATGGCATGTTGTTTGTGTCATGACATCCTTTCTATATGTAGGATATTGTTTCATTTATTTCTGTATCTCTGCCTCAGCTAATTTGGTAAGAACCTTTGTGATAACTGGTCAAAGTGCAGAGAATAAGTTACTATGGAGTCCTTAGCCCTGTATGTGACATTTATATCACACTCCATCCCAAATTCAGAGGACATCACTGAAGGAGGAGTAGAAAAAGTGTAAGAACCAGAGGTTAGAGAAGACTGCTGTTGACTAGATCGAGCCAGTTAACTTTTCCAACATCCTTCAGGCGGGGTTTACAAGGCCCTACCCCTAGCTGGAGACTTAACACCACTTGATGGCTGCTGGAGGAGGGGGAGTTAGTTTTCTTCAGTGGTGTTATCCATAGTAGACTGGCCATGCCCTAGTGGATGGTCCTTTACTAGCTCACATAGGAACAACAATAAATTGGCCTTAGTGAATTAAGAAAAGGAGGAGGAGGAGGAGGAGGAGGAGGAAGAACAGGAAGAGGAATAGGAAAAAGATTAGGAGGAGGAGGAGGAGGAACAGGAAGAGGAAGAGGAAAAAGAAGATTAGGAGGAGGGGGAAGGGGAGATAAACTTGAGTAGTGGGGCCTAGGAGAGTTAGACATGGGTAATGGGTGGTTATGATAAAAATATGTTGGATTAGTATATGAATTTGTCAAAGAATAAATAAAAATAGTATGCCAATAAAAACGAGTCCGTATGATGATACTTTTATTCCAAAATTGTATTGATTTCTTTGATGAGTAACTATTAT